CCGGTCCTGGGAAACAGCCATATTATACAGCACTGTGTCATGGGAGGCAAAATGTTTGGAGGCTGGGGAGAACGGTGACTGGGAAGTTTTTCCTGCCACCACAAGGCAGTCCAGAAAATCTCTCAATCTATTCTAGCAGTCTTAATAATCCAGAGTGCTCCTCCTCACTGAATCAAAACCAGGCAGCTGGCCAACTACTTTCTATTTGGGAATTTTCCCTGTTATGCCACATTAATGCATTAAATCAGTGTTCTAAATAAAGCAGTGAATCCTGTACTTCGCAAACACCACTCTTCTCCTTAAGAGAGTCTCCAGCTGAAAAGTTTCAACAGAACTCAAGTTTTCCCTTTTTTGCAGTCAGCACAGGTTGCTTTGTTCATTTTTTTCTACATCTATGCTCAAGTTCAATGCTATTTTTTATATTTACAGAAAGATAAACTGTTTCTTCTGTTTACCCTTCCTTTTTAGGCTTTTTCACTCCTTATATTCAAGTTTATTAACTCCAGATTTTCTCCGAACATTGAAGTATGGCCCTAATTACACTGTCTGATGCACTTCAATCACAAGAATGACCAATTTATTCACCTTCCCTCAGTCTCTCTGCCAGAGGAAAGGGGCAGGGTAGTTCAGGTGGGGGCAAGAAAGCACCCCTCATTCCTTTTGCTTGCTACTTTGCTCTCCACAAACGAGCATTCAGGAGTAACTCTAAATCCAGAAAATTTGAGGAGATGCCGAGTTAGATAGGCAATACATTAGCATGTTGACTGACTGCTGGTGCATGATTAAATACAGTTGCCATGCTATGCGGTGCCTTTAAAGTGTTATTTGCTTCCTAAAAGAAGGTTGGATTAGAAGAAGGCACTACATGTAGAACAGATATTGCAGACTCTGGAGTACTGAAGCAAGCAACGTACATAAACTAGGGACACGTATCAAGCCCTCAGAGCCTGCAAGACAGTTAAATGCAAGCAGGTAGTCAAGTGCTTGTGTGTGCAGCTGTTTTCACTGGTTTACAGACTGGTTTAAGCCAAATATTATTAAAAACCCTACAGGTGCTAAGTTAGGTATTTAATAAAAATGTTTATCTGTAAACAAGAGTTATCCTTACAACGGATCATTTTCCAGAAATTGGAATTTCAAGACAGTGCAACAATGCTTCAGTGTTTTCTTTGGCAGTAGACAGCAAGTTGAAATGTAAAATTCAAATTACTTCAGAAGAGCACGGTACAAGGTTAGAGAATGCTTCATCTCCCTCTCTTGTTCCATGCAGAATATCAAGTCCCTGAGACAGACGCGGGTTATTCTTGGACAGAGCAGCTGTTTCATAAGGCTAAAACCTGATGATCCAGGAGCAATTGCATTGCCTTTCAAATCCTAAATGGAGAAGAGAGAAAAAACATTAGAATTCCATGTAAATACAAGTTTTTAACCAAACTGGTTGGATTATACTGCCTACTTGCATAAAACTAGCCTGCTGATGTTCAGTGTTACATGTTGAAAACCAGCAACCCAGAAGTCCTTGCACATTAGATACTTTAAAAGCAAAGTGAGCACTTGCCAGTTAATGATTTAATTCAGTCAAAGCAATGAAGAAACTCTTAGGAAAAAAATCATTTAAAAAAATATATATATATCTCACTCTCTCTATATAATGGTATGATAAATAACTGCTGTTTCACTGAAGTCATATTACACACACACTTGCACTTAGAAAGGACAAGCTAACTACAAAGAAGGTACTACCACAGTTCCTATGCAGAGCCCCAGGTTGTGCAAGGCTCTTACTCCCACTTGCAAACACCCAGCTCCTGATGTTCACATCTCTTCTTGAAGAAAACCATCACTGTGAGTGGGCTCTAGTCTTAAAACACATCCAGGAGAAACTCTTACCCTGGCCATCACCTGTGAATTGTCCTTTAAGGGAGCAAAAAACCACACACAGTCAAAGCATCCGCGTGTTCAGAACACTGCACCCAAGCCTATCCATCTCAGTCGGCTGCCTCGCTTCGTTATGAAAGCACAATTGTAGGAGATGATGATGTTTAGTAGTTATACATTCAGGCTACTGGAATGAGCAGCCCCCACACATTCCAAAATGCCCCAAGATTTATTTTTAGGGGTGGGGAGGAGGCAGATTATCATGAGCTGCACAATAGACTGGCTACTTATCTTGGAGCCAATCTATGCTACACAGCCAGTCTCTTATCACTACTGGAGGGTTCTTGGTAATGAATGCAATTTGTACAAATTCGAGTGCTCAGTCTCTGTAACTCCAGCACAGCAATGCCTGCCAGCATCAACACCACTTGGAGATGGTGTTGCTTGGATGCCGTGTTAACTATATCAATTCTTACCCTAACACTCTCTCCAAGAACTTCAGCAAAATGACTTTGCCCACTTTGCTTAGAGAAATCTGGTTAAAAAACCCATATATTAGAAACAAATACCAGGGCTGGACTATCTATAGCAGTGAATGCTACTGTTGTTAGGGGGCAAAGCATTGAAATTTATTGAAAAAATAACGAGATCCACCAGAGAGCACGCACTAGCCACAGAAAACCCAGGGCATATTGCAGAAATGGAAGCTGTATTTCTTACTAGCAGCATGCAGGGTATTCAGCACCATTTCATTTGCTTTACAGTCAATACTATTAAACACTATGAAATGCCATCATTTGAAACTTTCAGTTTGTTAAATGGCTTGGAACAAATGCGGGCATGGGGAAGACTGCTGGCCACATAGCACAGAGAGGGCACTGCTGTCCTGGTAAGACACAAAAGGGTCACAGTTCAAGTTTGTCATATGACAACCCTGAAGGATCCAGGGAAAAGAGAGCTCTGCAATGCAGCTGCCAGCACGGGTTGAAAAGGAGGTCAATCCAACAGGATGCAGCAGAAGGCCTGAGGCAATGTTATAAATGAAACAAACCCCAAGGGTTTTCAGTAACCCAACAGCAATGTCCTTTATCATTCAAACAACTTTATGGAGGTGAAAGTATTTTCTCTCTAAATAGTCATTAGACTAGAAGTCTTACCTTTAAAAAGACACCAAACAAAGCCACCTCAATCCCGTTCATGCCCTCCCTTACAAAAAGGGGCCAGGCAGCACAAATCCCCGAGCCTGCTCTGGAAGCTGTTGGAGCTGCAAGATGCTACAATAGGGCAGAAGCGCCAAGCTGCCTGCGTTTGAGACAGTTATGGATTTGTTTATTCTTAAATTCTTACCCATCATGCCCAGTGCAGAGATGCAAAGTGATGTTGTGCTGTAATACCACATCCAAAGCCATACTCCTGTTTGCTAAGACAGCCAGTTCATACTTCTAAGTTTCACGAAGCATCGCTCCATCTTATCAGAGCTACTGAATACAGCATTCCAGAGGCCAGGGGCTCTTTGAGTAGCTACTGAACATATCTAAACCAACAGCTGCTACCACATCTAAGTTACAATGAAAGGTCCTTCTCTCAAGAGTGCATGATGGTTTAAAATTAAAGAAGCCAACAGACAGCCTAGGTCATTTCAGTCCAGACTGGGACAGCGTTGAGGAACTCACTCTGAGCTAAGTTAATATGGGATGAGCACTAACTCCTTTTAGCTACTGTCCCTACAGCTGCATCAAAGCACTGGTCTTTCATGGTTTTGTTTTGGACTTTGGACCAAAGCAATGGAAGGTGATGTACTTACTACCTGTCTTTTTGCAATAAAACATTTAGGGAACCAAAAGTAAAAACACTTCAAGTTAAGAAACCATCTGTGCATCAAAGTGAACCATTAATGGTGTCTGTTAATGTCCAAGACCTTATTTAAGAAGTACCCAACTCTGAGCTCTCCAGCTGACACACGGGACACTTCAGAGGAGTGTCCTCTGCTGCTCAGTTCTCAGAGCCTCCTCTTGAGCATGCTCCTGTTCGGCAGCAGGTCCATCTTGTCTGGCCCTAGACAACAGTCAGCAGTCTCCTCTTTTACATCTCATATCCCCATGCTGCTTTTGAGACTTTAAATACCCTGGTTAGAACACCACCAGCCCACTCCTTGTCCCCAGACATCTCTATTATGTCCCCCCCGTTGGGCAGCAACCACTTCTGCCTTGCTATTTTGGGGGTTTCTTCATTGCAAAAGTCTTCAGCCCACCCTAAAACAGCTTTGTGAGCATCTTCTGAAGGTAAGTGAGAAGTGCTGCTTTTTTCAACCAGACCACAGGCAAGGAAGAAGATAAATGAATATAAAACATCCCTGTAGAACAAATTCTAAGCAAAGGGTGCTGCAACCAGCCTGCACTCACCTTCTGCAACATCTAATTAGTGACTTAACTAGAAATCCCCCCCTTTCTTTTTTTTCCATTTATTTATTTTAAATTGGAAACACTCTTCTTCTCCACAAAGGAGGCTGGAAGAAGTCAGACAAATCCTGAAGTTCCTGCCTTTCCCTGGACCCCCAGCACCCCGCTTTCTTTCTGAAAGGGAAATGACGGAGACATACAGCCCAGGAGGGGTAAGGACCAGCATAGGTGCAACAGCCACGCTACAGCCAACAGCAACAGCTTTAGCACAACTGACAGACCCTGTCCATAAGCCAGGTAGGGCACCGTGGCAATGGGGCTCTGTACCACTGGAAACCACTCTCCGCAGCGCCCAGAGCACTAGCTGGCTTAACACCAGCCCCGTGAGGCCCAGTGGCAGCAGTCCTGCTTTTGGCCTATCCTTAGAGTCAAGTCAAATCAGCAACTTCGCCAAAGCAGCATGCTGTCAGCACTTCTTGATCCTCAGAGCCTTTTCTATACACCTGATGGAGATCAGTTACCCTCACTGATCTTGGCAGCAGAAGAGACTGCAGAGCTCCTGCAGTAGTCCCACACCTGTTGCACAGCTAGTCTTGTTTGGGAGGTTGCTCCTGAAACCTGTCTTTAAGATCTCTAGAGCTCTCTCCAGTGGCTGGACCAGGAATTAAATACTAACTCTGAGTCAGAGCTCACGACAAGTCACCTGAGCTACCATAGTGACCTTAATCCTAGTCTCCAAGGTATTTGGAGTATGTGATCTTCATGTCTGCATCGTAGGTACTGACAAGAACATCAAACTTGCAGAGAGCTAATCTACAGACCCCAATACAAAGCTCCGAGGGCTCAGCAGACACCTTTCTTCCCACCAAGTTTGGGTCAGGCTCAGTGAGCTGTTCCTGGTAGAGCACATGCTCCCTTCTCAAATTCGATGGCTTCACACTAATCACACTTACATTTTTAAACTCTTAAGAGGGGGGCACTTTAAGGGAACAAAGTGTTGAGTAAAATGTTCAAAAGTCAAGTTCTCATTTCAGTTTTTGGTGTGGCAATAACATGTCCTAGTCCCAGAGCCAAGATCTCAAGAAAGCAAACTGCCACTGCAGTCTGCTGTGCATTATAAAAATGCCGCCAACAGAAGGAAGCAAAGTCACAAGGCAGTTTTCAATGACATCTCCAAACACTGAATAATTACAGCTGTGTGCAGCAGACATTGTTGGAAGGTGGTAAGAGCATCCAGTGAATCAGAGCAAAAGCATCCAGGTTCAACCCCCGGCTCTTGTCACCTGTGGTCACACTCAGGTCTCTGACATCTACTGTACCCTGTACATTAGTTTCCCAGCTGTAAAACACAGAACACACTCCTGGTGCACAAGAGGAAAACAGATTAAAAAGCCATTAACACATTGTGGAGTGCTCAAATACTTTCCTGGGTCTCCCCCAGCAGCAAGGGGGAAGGAAGAGACCCTGTCAGAATTGTGACAGTTTTCCTTGTACACAGAAGTGCCTAATTTAGGCCAGAGGAAAAAAAGTCAAAGAAGTTGGTATTACTTTGGTGACAAGCCAGCCTACCGATGCTGCCTATTCTAACAGGTCTCAGTCTGATAAAAATACTCCCACATTCACATACTAAAATACTACATTACTCAATATTTATATTTTTTTTATTTTTGTGGGTTGGGTTTTTTTTGTTTGTTTCTTTTTTTTTTTTTTAAATAAAGTTGGTTGTGTTAGGTGGTTGGGGTTTTGGGGATATATTTTTTTTTTTAACCTTATAAACAATTAGGGTAGATCAAGCCAATGTCTGAAAGGCTTAGATCTCTATCTCCAGGCAGCTTCTCGTGTAGCTGAAAACAAACAAGTATATTTATGATGCTATCTGTAGCCTACAAAGAAGCCTCACGAAGCTGTCAAATCTATATAATAGAGAACGTTACTCAACTACGCATTTTTCCTCAGATTTCACTGCAACATTCCTACAAGTCCTTTCAAATGTAGGCAACAACATGTTTTACATATTGAAACAAATTACTATGAATGTAATGTCAGTTTACTCACTATTATGCCCGAGATTCATGTACGCATGTCACTTCGTATGGC